ACCCGAGCCGAGCCGGGCCCGGCGCGCCAGGTGCCCGCAGCCATGCTGACCGGCCGCGCCACGCGCACCTGTGCGCTCCTCGCCCTCTGCCTCCTGGGCGCTGGGGCCCAGGATTTCGGGCCGACGCGCTTCATTTGCACCTCGGTGCCCGTGGACGCCGACATGTGCGCCGCTTCCGTGGCCGCTGGAGGCGCGGAGGAGCTCCGGAGCAACGTGCTGCAGCTCCGCGAGACAGTTCTGCAGCAGAAGGAGACCATTCTCAGCCAGAAGGAGACCATCCGCGAGCTGACCACCAAGCTGGGCCGCTGCGAGAGTCAGAGCACGCTGGACGCGGGTCCCGGGGAGGCGAGGGCGGGCGGCGGCCGCAAGCAGCTTGGCTCCAGCAAGAACACCATGGGCGACCTGTCCCGGACACCGGCCGCGGAGACACTCAGCCAACTCGGGCAAACTTTGCAGTCGCTCAAAACCCGCCTGGAGAACCTCGAGGTCCGCGTGAGCCGCGGTTTCCCCTCGGGGTGGTGCTCCCTTCTGCCCTCCCCTGCCCCAAACCAAATCGGTCCTGGCATCCCCCACCCCCTGCCTCAGCCGAACGCTGTGCTGGCCACGCATCTCACAGAGCCTGCGGGGCCCCCACAGGCGGCCACTCACCCAGCTCCCCGCCAGCTTTCTCCCGCAAGCAGTCGCCCCAGGGTAGCGCGCCGCGCGCCTCCCGGCTCCATCCCTCCATCCAGCTCGACAGTAACAGTGTGGTTTTTCTTGCCCTTGTGTCCCGCAGCAGTACAGCCGCCTCAATTCCTCCAGCCAGACCAACAGCCTCAAGGATCTGCTGCAGAGCAAGATCGATGACCTGGAGCGGCAGGTGCTATCTCGGGTGAACACGCTGGAGGAGGGCAAGGTGGTCCCCAAGAACGACACAGAAGAGAGGATCAAGATCGAGAGTGCTCTGACCTCCCTGCATCAGCGCATCAGCGAGCTGGAGAAAGGTAAGGGCTGTGGGGAGGGCATGCTGTCCACTGGGTTCCCTTTGGGAACACCATCTGGTTCAGGCTCCCTGTGCAGCCCAGTTCCGGTCAGCACACCCTGGAGCTTCTCCACCCGAAAACCCTTTCCCAGGATCTGTTCCTCGCCAGGCTCTGTGTCCTCAAACTACAGACCTCTCCAGAAAAAAGAAACAGGGTAGGGACAGGATTGCATGGTGTACCCCCATCCAGACACACTCACACCCTCCCAGGATTTTCAAGTATGATTTGTTTAATCTTCAGTAACTTTGCACAGTAGCTATCGTTGGCCCAAACACTTTCCGTTAGCAGAGCCTTGCTTTAACTGGTCTTTCACCAGCAAAGAGCCAGACATCGGCCCACTTCAGCCTTTGGGCACGTTTGCTTCCAGATTCTTCAAGGTCCTGGTATCCTCTTGGGGTTCTCCCCCTTCACCCTGAATCCCTCCATCCCCTACCCCTCCCTGATTTTCTTTTCTGAGTGACCCCAAGCTTGAGTATCTTACACACCCCCACAGTGTCCCCCCTCCTGCCAACTCAGGCTGGCCCTGAGCACGGGGGCGGGAGCACCGATGCTCCCTGCCTTGAAGTCGCTGAAATCAAACAAGGTTGTAAAAGGGGGGAGGGGGTGGTGAGGAGCAGGGCCACGTGACCCAGCTCGGACTGCAAAATGTGCCGGATGGATTTAAACAGTGCCATCTTAAGGCGTGTTATGTAACTGAAAAACAGATCAGGGGAAAGAGGGACCTCAGGAAGGAGGGGGAGGGAAGAAGGGGAGATACAGGAAATAAAAACACTCCAGAGAGATGCCAGGGGCTGGATCCCCTCAACCCTCCCCCCAGAACGTTAATGTGGGAGAGTACTGCACTGAGGGTCAGCCCTGTTCTGCTCCCAGACCCCTGGCTTTGATGAGGAAGGGGTTGCTGGCTTGTTAGGATGTCTTTCGGAAATCACTAGTGGCCTGGGGGATGGCTTGCTCAGGGGCTTAGGGCAGGAGAACAGGTGTGCACACAGGAGCTGGCCCATTGTGTGCTCCAGGGCTTGGGGCAGGTGCCCACTGCTCCATGTGGTATTTCTCCAGGAGCTAGGCACACCAGGCATGTGTGGGGTGGGTGGGGGTTTGGTCATTCCCTGGAGTCACTGGCTGGCAGACCAGAAGCTGGTGGCCCTGTGTAAGGGAGAGGCCACCAGACTAGGAGCCTCAGTTTTCAGGAAGCTATCTGAAACCACTTCCCTCAACCAAGTCACCTTGGGGTCCCCACTGTCCTGCCCTCTCAGCAGAGTCCCTGGAAAAGCCTGGGGGAGGGAATAGAGCTCCCTGCTGAGGGCTGCACTGAATTGTGCATGCTGGCCTTTGTGGCAGGCACCAGCAGGCTGGCTGACCTGCTGAAGATCAGGAGAAGAGCCCAAGAGGAGTAATGAGGGATTGTGAGCAACATCATAGCCTCAGAATCAGGTCGGCCCCCAAAGGGACTACTCTGAGGGGAGCTAGCCTGGTTCATCCTTCTCCCCGCTGCACCTTCCCAGGTGATTGATGATGTGCCCTGACCCCACGGCAAGCCCCTTCCCTGTTCATGCCCAAGGCCAGGTGCCTACAACCCCACATCTTGCTCTGCCTTCCCAGGGATGGCACTATGTAGGGGCGAGACCCTGCCAGAGACCTTGGCTCAGTGTTTTTGCCAGCTGGCCACATGCCCTGTCTGCATCACAGAGTTTGGTGGGGGCCAAACACGACTTAGATACCAAGGTGCTGATGTCAGGATTTGGGTTCTGTCCTTTCCAGGTCAGAAAGACAACCGCCCAGGAGATAAGTTCCAGCTCACATTCCCGCTGCGAACAAACTACATGTACGCCAAGGTGCGGAAGAGCCTGCCGGAAATGTACGCCTTCACTGTGTGCATGTGGCTCAAGTCCAGCGCAGCACCTGGTGTGGGCACACCTTTCTCTTATGCTGTGCCTGGCCAGGCCAATGAGCTGGTCCTCATCGAGTGGGGCAACAACCCCATGGAAATCCTCATTAACGATAAGGTAGGATTCCCCCACCCCAGGGCCCAGCCCTGCAGGTGCCAGGCCTGGAGGGCTAAGGAAGGTGTCAGGTGAAGACCAGCGTGGGGAATGCACCCTCACCTGCACCACTTGGAGAACAGGGAGAGCTGGAACCTTCCCAACAGGCTCCCAGATGGAGGGGTGGCAGAGGATGATCTCGGGGACTGTGTAGTCCCACGATGACAAGCCTATCACACAGGTGCTGCAACGAGCACACAGAGCTCTCTCTAGGATGACATCACAAGTTGTATGAGTTGTTTTTTCTAAACTAAAACAATGTTCAGGTTTAATTGCAGTGTTGGCACTTTGTGATAAATAAGTTAGTTTTGGGCTGCAATTTGGGTACTCAGTCTCTAAAAGGCTCACCATCACTGGTCTGGTCCCTCCTGCTGATGTGACCCTGGCTCCTCCTTTTCCTCCTCGCTGGCCTCAGATCATCTTGGCTCCTGGTTTGGAAGACAATAGATGCCCTGGGTGGGGAAGCAAAAATGCTCCAAGAGATGCTTCCCTACTCTAGATCTATCCCCACTAATCCTCTCTTTCATAGGACGAGGCCAGGGCCGCAGGACCCCTTGTAAGAGAGAGGAGAGAGTACCCCTTTCCCTCTCATGAGTTCTTCTCCATTCCTGCCTTGGAATTAGTAGTCCGTTTTCAAACCCTTCACCTTCCTGCTGTTGTGGCAGTAAATTGCTAGAAAAAACTAGGCTGGAAATTGGATTCCAAGCCCTTGTTCTTGAAGCTATGCCCCTGAAAGGGCTGCACTTTGAGGGCCCCATTAACTCAAGTGGAAGGGGTGTGAGAGTCTGTGTTCTGCTGCACCATTCCCCCTGCTTGGGGTGGAGACGGCAGTACAATTCCAGGTCCAAGGCTGGTCTGAGAATTTAGAGGCAGGTGCCATCCTCCCTTGCAGATTCTCTGCAGAGGTCAGAGATTATAGGACCCAGCTGGAGGTCTGGAGAGTTGGAAGAGAGGAAAAGCCCTGCAGGGAGGCCCAGCAGGCAGCAGTAAACTCAGTCGCCAGGATCACTATCATCCCAGGGCTGGCTATGTAGACCAGCTAAGAGGAAGGAGGATGAGTAGGAGGGAGGCAGTCGTGTGCCCAGACGGCTTTCAGGGGTACCCTTGGCAAAGTGGTGGATTTCCTGTATGATTCCATGACCCACCGTGAGCGGGGCTGATGGATGGTAACCACCAGAATTCAGGATGGCTCCCAGTGTAAATTTTAAAAGTGGAAGAAGCACCATTGATTTGGGGTGGTACTCCCAAACCCATGACACGGAGTGCCTTGTTCTCGTCCCAGGTGGCCAAGCTCCCCTTTGTGATCAATGATGGGAAGTGGCACCACATCTGTGTCACCTGGACCACCAGGGATGGGGTCTGGGAAGCCTACCAGGATGGCACCCAGGGTGGCAACGGCGAGAACCTGGCTCCTTACCACCCCATCAAGCCGCAGGGTGTGCTGGTGCTGGGCCAGGAACAGGTACTTGCTATGGGTGCGGGAGGCAGGTGGTACTGGAACAGAGGCTTGGGCAGGAGAAGAGCAGGGTGGTGGGTGCTAGGGGTGGGGTGAAGATCGACTGAGAAACAGCTAAGGGCAGCAAGGGCAAAACCCTTGCTCTGGGAGAGTTGCTTCAGGAGCTCAGGCAGAAATGAATGTGAGGTCTAGCGCTCTCAGTAACTGCCCCACTCTCTTCACCATGGGAAGGCCAATTTTGCTTTTATTGATGAATAATTTAGTTCTGATGCAATGGTTCATCTCCCATCAGGTACTTGGGAGAGAGATGAAGGGCTAGAGAAGCCAAGCTTTTTATTCCTGTTGGGATGTAGTCGACTGTAGCTGGCAGAGGGATATCTGAGTGGGCCCCTAGAGCTTGTTACCATGGCTATCCACAGCCCTGCTGACCTCCTACTCACTGGTCAAAGGCCTGGCTGCAGGAGGAGCAGAGTTCAGGGGCCCCAGGGGAAGATCTGAATACAGAGCACAGATTGCTGGCACCAGTCCTTTTCCTGGGCTCCCCTCAGGGAGGAACAGATGCCTGACTGAAGACACAGGGGCAGGAGACAAGATGGTACCCAGAGTAGATGGGGGAGCTTCTGGTGGGGGAGACAGAGACTCTCCCCCAGCCAGGCTTGCAGATCATCCAGCAGATCCCTTCACCCTCATCCCTTGCTCTTCTCTAAAGGACACTCTGGGTGGTGGATTTGATGCCACCCAAGCATTTGTGGGCGAGCTGGCCCATTTCAACATCTGGGACCGCAAGCTGACCCCAGGGGAAGTATACAACCTGGCCACCTGCAGCGCCAAGGCCCTCTCTGGCAATGTCATTGCCTGGGCAGAGTCCCAAATTGAGATCTACGGTGGAGCCACCAAGTGGACATTTGAGGCCTGTCGCCAGATCAACTGACCGCTTCTGGCCAGGGCTGAGCCCCAGGTCCTGCGCCCACCCACCCTGCTTGTGTGGTGATGATCCATCGTCTCTTCTTTCCCTTCCCCCAGGAATGAATCAAGGCAACAGCCCCTGCACACACATGCGCACACAGCCTGGTTTTATCCTCCTCATGCACACAAAGCAGTCCCGACTCTCCTCTGTCCCTGAGGACACCCCACTTCTCCCTAGGAGCCCTGACTGTTTCCCAGGCCTGCCCTGACCACAGCTGAGCAGGTAGCAGCAATGTTCTGAACAGTGCAGGTGTAAGAGAGAGAAGAAGAAGGGGAGGGAGAGGGAGAGACAGGGAGAGGGAGAGAGAAGACACTTGGGCACGTGTGTGTGTGTGTGTGTATCCGGATGTGTGCCTGGGGGAAGCTTTTCTTTTAGAATGAGGCATTTCATTGCCTCCATTCTTTGTGGTTTAGGGAAATCTCAGAATGGGTCAGAAGTCTGTTTGCCAACTTCAGCATCTGCCTGCGTGCAGCTCCTTCAGCATAGCATTTGTCTTCCTTTGCAGACCTCTTTCAGAGCCACACGGCTCTCTATTGACATCCTAAATGTCTTTCTGTGGTTTGCTAAGGCTGGGTGGACCTTTCCACGAAGGATTTTTATTTGGCATTAGAGGCGTGCTCTGAAGGTTGAGGCTAGCTCTGCTGGGACAAGACACCTGCTAGCTCCCACGCGCCTGCTGCAGCGGAGGCGGCCTGGGCCTGGGGACAGCCTACAGACATTCTAAGTGGCTCTGTCCCTTGCCTTCTCAGCTCTTTGTACCCTTCAAGCCTGGGCCCTGTCACACCCTTTTAGCCACTGGTGCTGCCTCTGGCAGTGGGAGATCAGAGGCTTCCAGCAGGGGCCTTCTGGATGAGGGACCCATGTGCTGATTAAGACCCATCCCCAAAGGCCCTGGGGAACTTCACCCAGCCATTCCATGGGAAGGACATCCCCATGGCACTTTTGACAGCCATATTCCTCCCCACATCCCCAGGTCCCAGGTGGCCAGGGCTGGGAGACCCCTCCTGTGGAGCCAGGCTTGGCCAGAGCAGGGGGCCTAGCACCCCTCTTGCAGCAGCCCCCAACCTGCCATTGGCCCACGACACTGACTTGTGTCCAGAATATTTGGCTCCTTTTCCCCCCCCATGAAAAGCAGCATGAATATTTCCTTCTAGTCTTTCTGCAGAGGGGAGAAAAAGGTGTGCATGTATGTGTGCGTGTGTGCGTGTGCAAGTGTGCGTATGTGTGTGAGAGCAAACACTCCAGAGGTCATGACCAGGATAAGGTGAGCCCCTGCTTTGTCCTGGATCTGCTGGACACACTGAGGATAACCTAGACCCTCTGCCCAGGAGTCTAGCTTTGGCAAGGCTGGCAAGTCCTTCTAGAAATCCTCTGTGCTGCCTGGCTCATCGGCAGCAGCAGACACCTCTTCAGAGGCAGGTTGTGTGCCTGCTGTTCCTTCCAGGGGCACCTGTCTCCTCCAGTGCAGGTCCATGGTGTGTCAGAAACCTAGTGCATCTGTGTGTGTCTGTGTCAGTGTCTCTGTGTTGCTGTACTTGTGGGTGCCTGCACGGTACAGGTCGCCACTCTGCAATGCATCACTCTTCAGAGAGTGTAGATGTGGCACCATGCTGCGTGTCGTTGTTCAACAGTGGCTTTTTCTTAGATAATTGTGCTTCCTCAGTGCCGTCAGGTTGTGGCATCCTTGGATCTGCAGGGATCTTCTCTGTTTGCATGTTCCTTGGGGTGGCGTGTTCCTTGCTCCCTCGGTCCGATGTGTGTTCCCCTGCCTGCATGGACTTTTCCAGTTCTATGTTGTGTGCTGAGTGCCACCCAGTGTTCTGTGACCACCCATGTAGCTACCGAAAATGTCTGGGTAAGCAAGCCAGGGGTGATGGAGGGGGTTGAGAGAGAGGCCAGTGTCCTTCTCCCCCTCCCCACTCCCCAAACACACCAAGAAGCATCTCAAACATGTAGGTTGAGAACAAGCCCCAATGATACCGTGGTTGGGAGAGAGCAAGAGAGCTTGGAATCACCTTTCCGGACTGGGTTGAGCCCCACCTACGTGGGAGCCATTCTTGGCTCAGCCCAGAGCACCTGTGCCCAATGCGTTCCTGCTGGCACCTGCCACCAGCCCCTGCCCCTGCCGATACGGACCCCAGACCACCACCACTGCCAAGTGGCAAGGTGGGACCTGTCCGTTCAGGACCACAAGCCATCCTCTGCCCTAGCTAGAGAGGGCAGAGCACACCCCGGATGCTTATGCCTAGGACCCTGACCCTCCAGCTTCCTGGCCCCTTCCCCATCCTTCTGCTGCCCCCTGGCACACCCATGGTGCCAGGGACAGAAACTGACATTTAGCTCCCACCCCACCCCTAACTGGAGTCTGTGCCAAGCCCCTCGACTCCCTCACTGTGTTCATACTTGGCACTTTGCTGGCCCCGAGAAAGGTAGATGACAGAGCAGCAAATCTAATCCACATAGTTCCCATTGACTCCTTAATCTGATTGATGTTCCCTCTTGCACTGAATAATACATGCCTCTCTCAGGTAAGCCATTTTATAAAATAAGAAGATAAAAAAGCACTGTCAAGACAGTGTTTGCTTTTGCCGAGCTGGTGTCTGACAGCTCCCTGGGGGTCCTGGGTGGGAGAGCTGCCACGGAGGCTCCCCAGGCCCTGGGGAGCTTAGATCCCACTTGAATCGTAAAGCCTTCTTGCTTTTGATAACACAGTATTATTTCTCTTACTGTAGAAGAAAAAGTTTATTACCAAACAAGAGTATTTTTATGAAAGAATAGGACAAACCTATAAATTATCTCAACCTATATTTCCCTTGAAAACACTTTCAGGCTCCACCAAAATGTAGGACTGAAAGCGTGTATTTTGGAAGAAAGAGATACATTTTGTATGCTTTCTTTTCCTTTTGTAGATTCCCAGTTTGTTTTCTAGACTGCAAAGATCACTTTGTCACCAGCCCTGGGACCTGAGACCAAGGGTGTCTTATGGGCAGTGAGGGGGAGGGAAGAGGCTGGCATGAGGTTTCCAGTCCATCCAGTGAGGGACCACCTGTTTTGAAGGTGTGTTGGGGACCAGGAGGCCTAAGAGGCCGCTCTGGGTGGGCCCTTTGTCTGGAGCCGATGGGTGAAATGGAATGGGCTGAGGATTTGAGTGTCAGTTCCAACCTGGATAGAAGCAGTGAGCTAAGAGGACCAAGGCCTTTGTGATCTTATGGCCACCAACATGTGGCCTGAAGGAGTACCAGTTTCGTCTCTTCAAACACAGCATGTAAATTTATTCCGCCAGCGACGGGAAAAACATCGCTCCTGTGCACAGTGGACTGAAGTACGATTAATTAAAAGGGAACATGTCATTGAGGAGAAAAAAGCCCAATACTTAGAGTCCCAATTTTGTCTTATTTGCCAAAAAAAAGCAACCCCCCTAAAGTTGATATTGTTATAATGTATATACTGTAAAATATGAAAGAGAATCGATGTATCTTACTTTTTCATTATTTGCTAACCAAAGCTGTACATTTTTCATACAATCTGCAGCCTTTTGGGTATCAAATGGGTCAAAACCTGCCACCTCCCATCAGCAATTCTGGAAATGCACTATTTCTACTGGTATTCTTGCTTTCTTTCTTTTTTCTTTTTTCATTTTCTTGCTGAAATGACATGAATTGTTGAGTTTATTTTTACACAGTAAAGAGTGAAGAAAGACTGTGGGCTCTTTGGACTGTCTTTTCTGAAACTGGCTGATGTCCTCAGCCTGCCCTGCTGCACACACGCACCTTCTTGACCCTTCCTGCCAGGGGACGTGTGCTGTGTGCTTCCGTTGCACTGTGCCCCTCGGCAGCCCCACAGAGCCCTGGGACTAGGGTGGGATCCTCGTTTCTCATGGGGAGCTGACACTGAATCCTAGGTGAGAAGTGATTTCCCAGTTCACCAGATGCAGAGCAACTCCTGGTTCCTCCACCCCATGCCCTCCTGGGTGGATGAATGCTAGGCCCCAGGGGCCTGGGTTGGGGTTCCCAAACAGCCCTGTCTGTTCTCCCTTGCCACATCCTGCCAACAAATCCCTCGCACCTCTTCCTTGCACTCAAGGTTGAGAGTGTCTGCATGTCCGTGTGACGAAGTGACTGTGGGGGATTCCTGGGCTGGGGGAGATCATGGTTCCCTGACCAAGTTCTACTCTGTATGTATATAGGACTTACAAGCTGCTCCCTTCCTAGGGACAAAAGGACCAGGATCCAGATTCCCTGGTTTTGGAGATCTCAGGACGCTCACAACCTGAGGTTGGGGAAGCCAAAATAGCCTGGCAGGTTGGGCGCATACACACACACATAGCTAGCAGAAGGAACCAGCCCCTCCAGCTTCCTGTTGGCATTGCCCAGGGATTTCCTGCCTGATGCCCTGGTATTCCCTGGCCAGGACTGAGGAGCTGGGGTGTGGTGGAGGTTGAGTGAGCTGTCCTTCCCTGCAGAGGTTGGAGTAGGGAACAACCCACTGGGCTGAATCCCTGGCCTGTTTCCTCCAGGGCCACTGTAGAGTTCCCTTGCAGTGTGTGCAGAACAGAGTTTTGGGCTACCCCTACTTCTGCTTCTGCTCAGGAAAGCACATAGTTCGGTGTGATAATTTATGCTTATATTTCTAATGTCTTTGTAAGAGCTCATGCAAAATGTGGGTATTTTAACTCTCATTAGAAGCAAGTGGCTTTCCGCACTTGTCACACCTGACCTCAGCACATCAGTGACTGACACCAATGGGCCATGGAACTAACAACGGGCTGGGCAGGGCAGCTTCTCTGACCTATATGGGGGTCTGGAAAGAGGGACTGAGCTCAGGGCTTCAAAGCCAAAGGTGTCTAGAAGTCTATTGACACATGAAACTCCTCTTGGCTTGCATACTTCTGGTGATGGAGGACTCACTACCCTATAGAGACAGACTGTTCCACCTTCAGACAGCTTTGATTGTCGTCTTCTTTTGCGCTTCTATCTTTTACTTTTCTTTTTACTGCACTCGGTTCCCTACATGCAGCCGAAGCTTCCACCCATCTGCTCCCCCTTGTGAAGACAGTGCTGTGTCTCCCTGCATCTTCACAATCCTGCCCCCACATAGCCAGCATCATCACACCCCACTGTGCCAGGTTGACCTGTCAGACCTTGGGGTGCCTCCAGCTCTCTGCATATGGAGGAGGCATGCCCTCTTCTAGTCCAGCTCCCTGACTTTCAGATGATTGAGGCCCAGAGAGGCTGGGTGGGTTGTTTAGAGCTGCACAGCTTGACTGAGCTGGACCTTGAAATAAAACTCAGGATTTCGGATTCTTCGCCTAGTGGTCTCACTTTTCCCAGCTAATCGGCATATCCTCACCTGTAACTGGCTGGTGATACTCACCTCGCAAGCTCGAGATGACATGAGGAGGTGGGGGGGTGTGAGCCAGCATGGGCAGACACACATGGGGTGGGCCCTCGACTCCCCTTTCTGCCAGACTGAGACCAGACTGAGACCCCTCCTCCAGATTCTGTCCTTAAGGCTCCTTCTCATATCCTGGAGGAGCGGGGCTGGACACTGTCCCTTACTGTGACAGGCTCCTCCTAGATGCTAAAGTCCCCAGAGGAGTGGGAGACGTGGCCAGGTTGGAAGCCACTCTGACTGCTGTGTGGGTGAGCATGTCCCCACAGGTGTCTGGGCTGGAAGCTGGGTTGCAGTGTGGCCCTGTGGGCAGTGGAACTGAGTGAGAGGTCCTGAGGTCTCAAGGGCACTGTCCTGGGGAGGTATTGTGGGTTCCTTCTCTCCCTGGCTTCCTTTCTGGCCACACAGTTTCCTCTCCTGTGAACTTCTGCTGTCTGCCACCATATCCTCACCAAGGCCCGAATTCACAGGGCTGACCAATTTGGAATTTTCAATCTCCAAAACTGTCAGCTAAATAAACCCCCTTTCCTTATTAAGTTAGTCTTCTTTGATGTTTTGCTTTAGTAACAGAAAATGGACCACTATGGGGTGTCTCCCTGAGGATGGGCTGTGAGATATCTTCTGGACTCCAGTGTTCCCCAGGGAATCTGGTTAGTGTCAGCCCAACCCAGCCCTCAGCTCCTGGCCACCTCTCAAGGGCAAGGGCCATTTCCTTCTCCACCACCACACAGGACCTCAGGGTCTGTCTCTGGGCCTCTCCTTCCCCGCCTGTTGACTGGCTCTGGGGCTTGTCCACCTCCCTATCTCTTCCAGTGAGTAGTAGAGGGTGAGAGACCAAGCCCTGGGGCCGGATGAGGCTGTAGCCCATGCCCTTGCCAGCCCCACATCACATTTTACTCTGCCTCCTGCTCCGTGTGGGAACCCCCCTGCTCTGTGCTAGGTCTCTGTGCTCCAGGAAGCAGGGTACTGTGGCCATGTGCTCAGTCCTGGCCCCTGGGCAGGAGCAGCCCACATGATAGGGTCCTGGCCTACTCGGTCCCATGTCCCCCCCACAAGGCAGCCAGATAGCGTCCTCCTCTTTGCTGATCTCCAAGGAACAAGGCTTAGAGGGGTGAAGTGTCACACAAAGCCATGTCCCACACTCAGCAGAGTCACCACAGCCTTGGCTGCATAAAATGTCACCCATGGGAGCAGGATGCACTGTTCCAGTCTGTTGGGGCTGGGCAAGTGGCTTAGTCCTAGGAGATGCCACAAGCTCCACATTTCTCTTCATATTGGATATCCAAATAAATGTTCCTAAGAGTGAAATGCTTGAAGCCTGGAAATAATTTTGTCTCCCAGCTCCTCCAGAAAGGACACATGCACTTCCTATGGCTGACATGGTCACTTGGGAAGGTGGGTGGGGGTCTCCCCAACCTCCTCCAGCTTAGAGTGACGGGGGCATTCTGAGTGGTCAGTGTGTTCTCTTCAGGCTGTTCCAGAGCCTAAGGTCAGCCTGTCCATCATGCAAAGACCAGGAGTGTCTCTGTGGGGCCACCTGATCCTCCCTGCTGCAAGCCTTGCACCTCCCACTTCTGGAGCTCTGGTTTCTACCACTTGCTCATGACCCCCTACTGCCAGGTTTTTCCACCATGATGACCTTCCCTCAGGGTCTCTGCAGTCTTTCCCTAAACCTACAGGTCACACTTCTCCACCCTCACCCCCAACCCTCTCCACACCCTCCCCTCCAGAAGGGCTCAGGTCCTGGGCAAGAAGAGGTGCAGGATGGGAAATCAGAGCCAAGGCCTCAGCAGCACGTTCATTCCCTTGTTCATCCAGGAGGTATCTCTGAGCACTTGCCAGGAGCAGGCAATAGGTCCAGGAGCCCAGGTGGGGTGGGCAGGGTCTCTGGAGGCCCATTCAGCTCCAGCGTGCAGGAATGAGGGAGCCTGGTGGCGGGGGAGAGGATGTGTGTGAGCTCTCAGGCTTGTGTGCCTGTACGACACTGCCAAGGAGGCCGTCTGTCCCCTGTTTGATTTCTGTGCTTCTCAATTCAGGCCAAGGTGGGGGGCCATCTGCTCAAGTGGGCCTGGGGAAAGCATTTTCACTGTGCGGAAAATTGGCTTCCGAGGGAGGCTGTGCTCAGCACAGAATGAGCTGGGAGCAGTACCGGCAGGGACAGGTGCCGGGTACCGCCCCTCCACTTCCTGTGGCACCGTCGTGAGTCCCCAGCATCGCACCCTGTCTCAGGGATCTTTGGATGAGGCTGTTTCTGTCTCCTTCTTTCTTTAACACTTGAGGAGACATCATTGAAAAGTCATGCAATTCACCCGTGTAAGTTGTACAATTCAATGGCTTTTGGTGAAGAACTTTCTAAAAAACATTGTGATAAATATATATCACATAAAATGTACCATTTTAAAGTGTGCTTCAGTGGTATTGATTATATTCACAGTGCTGTGTGACCACCACTAGTTATTTTCAAAGCTTTCTTATTCCTGCAAACAGAAACTCCATACCCACTAAGTAAAAGCTCTCTGATCCGTGGCCAACCCCAGCCCCTGGGAATCTCAAATCTGCTCTTGTCTCTGAATTTACCAGCTCTAGGGACCCCACAGAATGAGAATCACACACCCTGTGTCCTCCTCCTGTGTGGCTGGTTTCCTCCCCTTGGCATGGTGCATCCTTGGTTCATCTGTGCTGGAGCACGCATTGTGCCTCCCCGCTTCCTGTAGCTGAGGACACTTCCCGTGTGGGGACACGGCTATCATTTTTTGCTGATCCACTCACGTGCAGATGGACACCTGGGCTGTTTCCACCTTTTGGCCACTGTGAGTAATGCTGGTGTTCACATATCATTTGAATCTCTACTTCTGATTCTTTGGGGGTACACACTCAGAATTGCTGGATCGTATGATAATTCTATATTTAGCTTTTTGAGAGACTGCCAAATGGTTTTCCACAGCAGCTGCCCCATTTCCCATCCCCACCAGCAGTGCACAGGGTCCTGATCTCGCCATACCTCCTGGGTGGTTCTCATTTTGGGGCTTTTGAGGGAGGTCATGCTAATGAGTGTGAGGTGGGGTTTCCTTATGGCTCTGGTTTGCACTGCCCTGTGGGTTAGCAAGACTGGACGTCTTTTCAGGTGCTTATTGGCCATTTCTGTATCACTTTGTGAGAAATGTCTATTCAAATCCTTTGTCCATTTATTTGAAGTGAGTTTTATTTTTCTGGTTGTCAGTGGTGAGTCTGTAGAAGTAACATATTTTGGGTGCTAATCCTTAATCAGGTGTAGAATTTCTAAGACTTTCTCTCATTCTGCAGGTTGTC